TGGCGCAGCAGACCTCTCCTGTGTATCCCTGATGCTCCTCTCAGCAGCGTATTTCAATCAGTCTGCCTGTTCTGGTCCCTACTCTGTCTCTGGTGAATCCTCTCACCCCCCTCCTCACCCCCACACCTCTGACCTGCACCCCAGCTCTTGTATGCATAAATAAATAAATCTTTAAAAAATAAAAAAGAAAGTTCTCATAGACAAACAGCATACAAGACTGTGAACAAATAGGAAATGATATTAAAAGTCAAATTTCACCAGCAAACACTAGAGTCTAATCAGAACCCAAAAATCTCACAGACAAATAATAAACCTGACATTGAAGGCCTCACTGATCATCAGAGCTGAGTCATTTACCATCATTGTGTAAGTTTATCCACATGGTCGCAGTTCCTCACATTCACTGATTTCAGGAAACTTCAGTGGTCTTCTCTTTAATAAATAAGGAAACTTGGACTAAAAGAAATGAAGTGAGCTCATTTCTTGTGACCTGAGCTCATTTCTTGTGACCAGAACTGACTAGCTCCCAAGTGTGTCCAGGGAGCACTCTGAAATTACGATCACAGCTAACCGTTATGTGTAAAAGAGGATGGATAGTCCCCACGATGGCCGTTCATGTTTAGAAAACAACTGTTCTACTCCAGCTTTCCACTGTAACCTGGCGACATCACTCAAGGGCAGGAGGACCTTGGATTAGGAAGCTGGCAGAGAGTGATGAAGACAGGCCAAGGAGAGGGAGGCCAGCCAGGGAGAGGAAAAGCTGCAGGCAGTCAGGCAGGCAAGCAGGGCCAGAGGCTGGGAACGTGGGGCAGAGTATTTCACTTTTTCATTCACTTTGCTTAGCTAGGCCAGGGCGCTACCTACCCCAAAGTTAATCATGTGACGAGAGAGGGAGGGGGGGAGCAGAGTACATTTGGGTCACATCAATGCTGGAAGCATTTCCTTCAGGTTTTCTCTCCAAAAGAGTCTGCCTGTAAACTCTTGATTTACAAGTAACCACTCCCATACCATAGTATTAGCTAATGATGGACTTCTGTTTTCTGCCAAGCTGCTCTCAGGCAGATTTTTCTAATTAATTTTGCTTAAAATAGTGGTGCTCAGAAAACAGATGAATTACATAAAACAAATATTTTGGGGGCTATAGACCAATTAGTGGTTTCAAAAGGGAAATAGGGAAGGAGCAGGGGATAGGTAGATAGGGAAAAACAGGACAGTGATTTACTGAAGGAGAAAATTGGACTTTTAGTGGTGACTTAATGTTGATTCTCAACAATACACACCAGAGACATACATTATAATGCAATGTTACTTCCATTAAAAATTTTAAAAATAATTTCAAAAATAAAAATAAAACAGGTGTGCTCAACCCTGGCTGCACATTAAAATCCTCTGGGGCAGCTTAGATAAAACAATCACCCTGTTTCCTCCTCCAGTGCCGACAGTCAGAGGCTCAGTGACTGCTGTCTCAGCCAAGAGGTGACTCTTTGCATTCAAGATGACCAAGGACGAACCTCTTCCCCGAAAGATTCGACTGACTGAAACAGACTTCAAACTCATGGCACGAGATGAGTTCATTCTAAGATGGAAACAAATTCTAAGATGGAAGCAAACGTGCAAGCTTTGGGAGGCAAGTTCGTAGATCTTTAATGATCAGCTGGTTTAAGGAAATCTGAAGAAAAACTAAAGCAGCAATAGAAAGACTCTGCATGCAGGGAATATGTTCTTGTTATTGACTAGCAAGCAAGGAGCATAAAATGAAAGTGTGTCCTACTCAAGTCCAACACCTCCATCAAGTTCATAGCCCACAGTGGCCAATTGTGATCCACAATGTAGACCTGGGGACGGACGTGCTTTTCCTAAAAATGAAAGAAGAGCTGGAACAGACTAACAACAAACTGGAACTAGTCCCAGATGTTCTGAGTGCTTGGAAGTTTACGCCGGATAGGTAAATAAATCACACTCCCCAGTCAAGACACACCTGACAGCCCCACTAAGGGCAAACTGGGCTGTGATGGCCAAGTATTCATTTCCACATCAAGACTCAGACTTCTGCAGCCAAAAAAGTCCCATTCTTATATTGTCCACGTGTAATGGTTAATGTAAAACTCACCAGAGAACCTTGTGTTTCAGCTTTTTTCTTTCCCCCTTCCCTTGCTTCAGATACCTGATGGTGTCAGATTATTCCAAGTAAGTGGCCACCTCTGAAAAATCCCCTCTAGAGCATGGAGACATTTGAGAAATGCTATGTCTGCAGAGATTTTGGAGTAATGAAAATCTAGAGATTTAAACTCGTGAATTGAACATATAAAATCCCAAAAAAATGTAAAAGTGGAATATTGCCTTTAACCTTGAGACTCGTGAGTTAGAGACACTAAATCAGTTTTGCCAATAAGATTGAGACTTCTTGATTGTTGTTGCACTTCTGGGTCAAAAGTCAAATGTGGCGAATTTTGCCTTTAAAGGTTTATTGTTAAGAACCAACTTAATCGTCATGAGAGAATCAAATAATAAATATCAGTACACATAGTTCAGATATTTAACCATTCAGTTCAAGGCTCTGTATTACTTGACTGAGATTTAAATCAACGTGGATTTAATCAGTGGTTCTTTGAATGGTTATTAATACTCTATATAACCTTACTGAGGACTGTATGAACATAAAGCGAGGTATCAAGCTTGAGGTCTAAATTTGTGTGAAATGGGCCTCCCTGGTGGTGCAAGAGGTTGAGATGCAACCTATGAAGCTATCAGCAGCCACTGCAGCACGAGTTCAAACCCTGGTGAGGGAGCAACCCACATGGCACAGCAGACCTCTCTTGACTCACCTGCTGCTCCCCTCAGCAGTGTATTTCAGTCAATTTGCCTGTTCTGTTCCCCACTCTGTCTCTGGTGAATCCTCTCACCCCCCTCCCCTGCTGTACCACAGTTCTTGTATGCAAAAATAAATAAATCTTTAAAATAAATAAATCTTTAAAATAAACAAACAAACAAACAAATAAATAAATTTGTGCGAAGTCTTACAAACATTTGTTTCACAACCAGGGTGTATAAGGACATTGGCTGTGGTAGAAATCACCACCTTCTTTTTTCCAGTAGTGAAACTTACTAAATCCCCATTGCATTCAACAGACATACGTTGGGGAAATATGGTCCTTTGTTGTGCTTGGCCTTCTGTATTACACTCTTGATATTAAAGGTGCCTTAACATAAAAAGAAAAAAAAAATACTGATGTCAAAGTCTACCCCAAGTAAATTCTGGTTTAACTGGTCTGAGATCCAAGCACTGGTATGGTTGAAAAACTCCCCAGGCGATTCTGAGAAGTAGGCAGGGTTGGGACCCTGATTTAAAACCTCAGGGCAAGTTTCCACAAACTAATCAATTGTTTTAAAAATTATAATAGCATTGTTTCCTTCACATCTGGCACTGTTATTCCTCCAAAAATAATGAAATAATTTGCAGAACATACTGTCTTTGTAAGACTTTTTTGTTACTCATTTTTGCTAAGGAAAGTCAACACAGGGCTGAATTCAACAAAAAATCTGAAACTGACTCCATGGAATCCTATCACTTCATCTCCATTATTTTTTTAGTGCAACGACATCGCACACATTTATACAGTCATTGTTTTTCTTGATCTTTATGTCCAGATGTCTGGGCAGTCCAAAAAGTGTGGTACTTGCCAGATATTCCAGTACACTTTGTCATCTTTGGACTTTCTGTGCTATGGAAATTCAAAAGAGAAATCAGTGTGGGCTGGAATAATTAGGAATGTGGGTCTCCTTCCTTGTTTGGGGCCTTCTTGCCTTTATCTACATAGAAGGTGAAAGTGTTACTTTGCTTCTCCTGCCTACCTCTTGTCTCTAAGGCATTAGAGAAGATAGGAAATAGAAGTAGAAAATCTGATTTATGAAACTGGAAGTGTAATTTAATGGTCATTTAGTTCAGCTACTCTGAGATCAAGAGCACAGCTGGATCACATCTGGGGCTGGGGGGCTGCTCTCAAATTCTATTCTGCTCTAGACACCACCTGGTCTTTCAAGTGAGACCGTTCAAAGCTACTCCAAGTTCTCCAGTCGTCTTATTCTTGCCAAGTTGGAGCCTTTCTACCGCGCTGGCTTCTTTCCCCCGGTCTTCGGGGACCACTTCTGCCTAACGGGGGGCACAGAGCTGTGCCCTTCTCCTCCCTGCTGTTGGGGTCCTGTGTGGCTAATACTTCTGTGTCTTCCATTGTTACACGATCCTCGTTGATGCGCATTTATTAAACACTTGCTGCCGTCAAACACCCCATTTCCTCAGAGGAAATGCCCAAAGGGGAAGCCGGGACGGGGCAGCCCGCCCTCCCCCACCGCACCCCCATCTCTCGCCACCAGCTCTTGGGGCTGCATTTCCGGCTCGTCCGGTCTCGGGCCCCGGGGACAGCTCGACTCTGAGGCCCGAGGGGGTTTCGGGCTGGATTTGGGTGGTGCTCCCCGGGGCTGGTGCGTGACCGGGGAGCGCGCGCGCGAGGGCGGCCGAGCCCCCGCCGCTCTGCCAGGGCCGCACGGCAGGCGGCGGGGGGTGGCCTGACCCCAGAGCCGGGCTTCTGCCCGCGGCCACCCCGCGTGGGAGGGTGGGCCCGGCCGGGGGGGCGCCGGCGAGGCCGGGGCAGGAGGCGGAACCCGGCGGGAGGAGAGCGGGAAGGCGCGGGGCGGCGGGCGGGGCTGGAGGGGAGGCGGCGGGCAGCGGCAGGACGGCGGGGCGGGGCCAGCCGGGGCGGGGCCAGCTCGGGGAGGGGCGGGGCCAGCTCGGAGGCGGGGCGGGCGGGCCGGCCGGGGCGGGGCGGGGCCTGCTCGGGGGCCGGCCGGGGTGGGGCGGGGCCAGCTCGGGGGCGGGGCGGGCGGGCCGGCCGGGGAGGGGCGGGGCCAGCTCGGGGGCCGGGCTGGGCGGGGCCAGCTCGGGGGCGGGGCGGGCGGGCCGGCCGGGGGCGGGGCCTGGCCGGGGAGCGGCGTCCGAGGCCGCCGCCACCGCCGCGGCGCGTTCCCCTCCGGGCCGGGCCGCCCGGGCGCTCCCTCAGCCGCCGCGCCCCGCCGGCCGCTCCGGGCGCGGGCTCCGGCGTCCCCGGCCGCCGAGGACGCCCCGCGCGCCCCCCGGCGGGCGCCGCCGGGCCAGGGCGCGGAGCCGCGGGCGCGGGCCCGGCATGGAGCTGTTCCAAGCCAAGGACCACTACATCCTGCAGCGCGGCGAGCGCGCGCTCTGGTGCAGCCGGCGCGACGGCGGCCTCCAGCTCCGGCCCGGTGAGGCGCGGGGCGCGGGCGGGGGCGGGGGCGGGCGGGGGCGCCGCGGGGGGCCGGCGGGGGGCGCCGCGGTCGCGTCCCGGGCGCGCTCGGGGGGCCCGCGCCGGCCCCGTCCCCCCGCGGCGGCCCCGGGAACGCGGGGCGGCCCCCCCGAGCGCCGCGGTCGGGGTCGGCCGCCCCGCCAGAAAGTTGGAGCCGGTCTCGGGGCGCGGCCGCGTCTCCGTTGCCCGCGGCCTGACGGCGCCCTCGCCGCCGCGCCGGGTTCGAACCCCGGGCCCGGGCCCGACGCGAGCGCCCCGGAGCGGAGCGTCCCCCGAGCCGCACCCCCGGCGGCCGCGGGGCCCGTCCGGCCCGTGCTGTGGAGGCGTGACTCCAGCCCGTCCCCCGGCGGCACCCGAGGCGCGGCGCCCCTCTGGAGGCAGTTAACCCGTGGCGCTCGGCGCTTCGCATTTTGTGTGACTCGGTATCGTGCGATGCAAAACGGATCGTTGCCCCGCGCTTGGGTGTCGTGTAAGCCCCGAGATGCCCGCGTCTACACCCGCTGGATCGCCTGGGGAAGACGAGTTTGTGGTGGAGTCCAGCAGAGCGGCTCCTGCCCTCAGCAGGCTGACAGTCCAGGGGGGCGCTTCCTGCTGAGGGGGCCCATAGCACCTCCAAATTTGAGGTCGCCAGGCCTTGCCCGCAATCACCCCCCAGATCTTTCACTTCAGAGGTGAGAGTATTTTAAAGGACCAGCCTGTACCTTTCAAATTTACTTTGAATTCTTGTACCTGGTGCAGGTAAACATTACACGGAGTGAATTGAAAAGTATAAAAGGTCTCAAGGAGCTTTTCCCATCACAGCAGTTACCATCTTAGGATGGTTTCCAAGGACCGGCCCCTAAATCTGTTATCCCAACCCCACAACTACTTTGCAAAGCAGGTGGTGGGATCCTTTTTTCACGTGGGGGGACATATGGGAAAGGTTGAGTAACGTGCCCAAGGTCACAGAGAGAAGAATGGGCCCCCAAAACACTTTCTGGCAGAAGGTTATGAGAAGCAGTCATGAAGGCCTGCTAGCTGACTTGCTGGAGAAGTGAAGATAATACTTTACCCTAAGCGCTGGGTGTATTTTCTTATGGATATCATTTATTTCCTCCTCAGAATGGAAGAGACACTCTTGCACACAGATGAGGTTCTTGATGTTGAGACAGTTGTTGTAGAAAGGCAAGTTTAGGCCAGTCCCCGGTCTTCTTGTTTTTTCCTCTGTTTTTCCTGATTTGATTGTTTACTTGGCTCTTCTCCCAATACTTCACCCCCACCCCAAGTTAGGGCAAGGCTTTAACTTGAAGAATGGTAGACTGCAAAATTCCCTAGCTGTCATGGAGTCCACCCTTTTGATGATAAGATTAGTTATTAAAGGGGCCTCTCTGGTGGCTCAAGGGTTAAGATGCAGCCTGTGAAGCTGTCAGCCTCTGCAGCATGAGTTCCATACCCCAGCGAGTTCCATCCCCCAGCCGGCCAGGGAGCAACTCACATGGTGCGGCCAACCTCTCCTGTCTCGCCTGCTGCTCCCCTCAGCAGTGTATTTCAGTCAATCTGCCTGTTCTGCTCCCCACTCTGTCTCTGGTGATGCCTTTCACCCCCTCACACCTCTGGCCTGTACCCCAGCTGTTGTTTGCATAATAAATCTTAAAAAAAAAAAAAGAAGAAACTATACTATAAAAAAAAGAACGGGCCTCCCCTGGTGGCACAGCGGTTGAGCGCTGGGCTGCGAAGCTGCCCGCAGCCTCTGCAGCGCTGGTTCGATCCCTGGCCGCCGGCGAGGGTCCCACATGGCACGCAGACCCTTCCTGCCGCCCGCTGCTCCCCTCAGCAGTGTACTTCGTCAGTCTGCCTGCTCTGTTCCCCGCTCTGGCTCTGGTGGGTTCTCTCACCCTCCTGCACTCTGACTGTGCCTAGTGCTTGTATAGATAGATGAATAGATCTTTAAAAAAAAAAAAAGAAAAAGAAAAAAAAAGATTACTTATTAGATCTGGATGCTGCACTTAGTCATTTTCACCTTATGGAACAATCCACTTCTGTGCCTCATTTCCTCAACTATAAAATGAGAGCTGTCCTTTATAATCCTTCTCCACTATGAAAATGTTCTTAAAATGAGACCAATTTGGTTAGCGTTCTGTGTTTGTCTTGGAGGACAAGAATTGACATGTTTCATGAAGAACTCTCAGGGACTCCTTGGATAGAGAGTGACTTGAGCCATATATAAATAGGGTGGATTTGGTTGTTTGCATTTCTAGGCTGGCTCTCTCCTTTCACCCCTAAGATTGACAGAGATGAACCAAGCTGGTGGAATTACTTGGAAAGAGGTTAGGTCAGAATCCTCTGAAAAGGAGGGGTTTTAAGTAAATTATTTGTCACTCTGGTTTGTATTTTTTTTCTTGCACCCAGGAAGTTCTCCAATCGGAATGGCTGATTGGAGATAAATTACTCTCCTTAAGTAAAGTCAGTCCACTCTTCTAGAATGTTGGCTAATGACTTACCTTTCAGTGGAAGGAAACTTAAACCCATACTTCTGAGCTAAAGCAGCTCAGATGAGCTACAGGCTTGTGCTTTTAAGGACTCTTCACAGGGTAACCTGGGCCTAGATTTTGAAGGTAGCCATGTGGTTTGAATTTCTGTTTATATATCCAAAGTCCATATCAGAAGGCAAATTAAAAACTTTTTTTTTACAATTAAGTTTATCTCACTTAAGATATAGAAGGCCCCAGGCTGAAGTGGATCCAGAGTCTAGAGGAAGGAAGGGGCCTTTATGTTTCAGAAGTAATAGCCTGTTTTGATCTTCAGATATTCGAGATAGGTAGTGAATAAAAGACTCCCATGCACTTGACTTTACCACATAGTCTCATCTCTCCAGACTGCAGATCCTTTTAAAGAATGGCTATTTAATAATGGTATTTTAATTGAATAAGTGTTTCTCAGATCTTTTTCTATATAAGGAATCATTTGAAATTCTTTTCATTTTATTGGACCTTTTCCCTCTGCCTTTATGGCCGGTTTTGCTATTATTTGTAATGACAACAGTTAAAATCTCTGCTCGTTCTTTATGGTTAGTCATCTGAATAGATTACTGACCAAATCCTTTTCTTTTCCAAAGGGCAGTACTGTAAGACCAGAAAAGCCTGCAGACATTGTGGCTCTACTGTTTGTGGCTATTGACATCAGAAGAATCAATTAGTATTGACAGTCAAGGTTAAAATGACTCTTTCATTAGCGTGGATTGTTTGTTAGCGTTAGCCTCTTGTCCTGTGTCATTTATTCTGTAAAGATCCAGCTCAGATGCTACCCCCACGAGGACTCCCCTACCCCCGGGGGCAGAATTGTTGGTCACCTCGATTGTGTTTCCAGGTGCTTTATACACTTAGTACACTCTTTGATTATAACCCTTACTGCACCATATAATAATTTGCTTTCTCCTTCTCCAGTGCATTCCCTGAGGCAACAACCATATTTCACTCTTTACGAAGGCATTTTTGGTTGAATTGAACTGAATCAAATTGAAGTCCAAGTTTTCTCTCAGTAATATCATTGCCATAGAAATGGGATCTTATGTTTGTTACTCATTTTAGGCCTTGTTTTGAATATCTTCTAATTGGGGTGGAAAATTTCTGTCCAGCTGGGTGAGGAAATCTGAGGAAAAGTGCACTTCCACTTGTGTTATATTTTTCTGTCTGATTTAGCATCACACTTGCCCTCACCCCAATCTTCATGGTAATTTTCCTTATTTTCTTTAGCCTTTAAATTTTTTCAGAATTTATTTCTAGCTAAGCAGTACTGTTATTTTTCTTTTGTTTCCTTTTTTTTTTTTTTTTTTTTTTTTTTTTTAAGGATAGTGAGTACATAGCACTGCTTTTTGGAGAAGGCTTGTGTCTACTGCAAGGTAATGACCACCAGAGAAAAATGTTTAGGTAATTCCATTTTATTGTCTACCAGGGAAAGGGATAAAAGTCAGTGTCATCGTTCAGTAATCTTTCCTGAGAGTAGAGTTTTGCCGTCTGAGAATAAGAATGGTAATTTAAAGCCCTAACAAGGAATATAATACAGTTCGCTGTTGGGAAAGGGTGATGTGATCTTATCTCTTTAGTCTTAAAATTACCCCATGAGGCCTTGTGCCTTCGTCTGCTGTAATGGTGTTATATAATTTTGCGGGTGGTGCACTTCATTCTGTTCTGACGCTCAGTGACCGTGAAAAGAGGGCGAAGCATCTGTCATACACGTGACATTCATTAGCAAGTAAACTGTGCATATAGAGACGGCCCTCTGATTGGTGAACACCAGGAAAGGTGTGTTTTGGACGGGAGACTAGCTCTCAGACGCACAGAGGCATAAAGTGCCCCTGTTCTTAGTTATGTTTTGATAATAAAATTATTTTTAATATGTCGTATAAAGTTAACTTTTTGAGTGTGAAATTACAGTAATGGACTTGAAATCCACACAGAACTTTTATCTCTTCTAAAGAATCATCGTATAAAACTAAATTTAGCATAGAGTTTTCTGTCATTTAGTATTTATTTTGAAATGAGATTTTGAATTTTACCTCTTAAAATGTCATGTTCCTCACCTCAGGGAAGGAATCATATTGTCCAAAAATTAATGATATAAGAAAAAATAGTACATTTAAAAATTTTTAAATAAACATCGAGAAATAGTAAAAAGAAAAAAATCATGTCTGCTAAAAATTCATAAATTCCCTTGATAAAATATAATAAGACATTTTAATTAAAATTGTTAATTATATTATTAAAAAATCTAATCATTTTTGGTTTTGAGTTTGTTTTTTTGGGTCGTATATTTCATCTTTACTTTCTTTACAATAAATGGCTTCCTGCAAGGGTTTAAGTCTCAGCACTATCAAGCTATCACCAGCCACTGCAGCATGAGTTCAATTTCTGGCCAGGGAGCTACCCCCATGGCACAGCAGACCTCTCCTGTCTTGCTCGTTGCTCCCCCAGGGGGAGTCAG